GCAGAGCAGATGGAGTTCCTTTAAGGGGGTGGGCAGGCAGGCTTCCACGGGGATGGGGAAGCACCCATTTGGGGGTGGGCAGGCGTGCATGTGTGCACGCACACACACACACACACACACACACACGCACGCGCGCGTGCAGCAAGTGTGGCCATGACTTCTCTCCAAGGGCTGGATAATGGATGTGGGATCTTGCTAAGATGAAAGGCTTGCTGCGGGGTGTGTGTGTGTAAAGTGAGCCAGAAGCGAGTGGTTAAGAGCATTAAAACTAGGGTTTTACAAATGGTGGTGACGTCCCGTGAAGGTTCCAGTGATGGCGGAGGTAAGACAGACACTGAGTATTTCTGAACCGAGGCCTGTCCTGCTGGAGCCTAGGCTGCCACACTCTGGGCTGGAGGACAAGATGGCCGGCCCCCTGCGTGGATGGAAGGCTCAGTGGGGCGGAGGGCCGGAGAGCTGAGGAGGAAGCAGCGGGGGTCGGAGGAGAGCTGGCCCCTCAAGAGGCAGCAGCAGCGCTGCAGGTAAAGCAGCTGGATATGGATGGGGGGCTCCGGGGGCCCTGCGGACACAGCAAGGACTGAGTGCAGGCAGATGGGGCCAGGCCCGGGGGGAGGAGGGGGAAGCCTGGGCCTAGGTGAAGACGGGGGGTAAGCTGGGTTGCCAGCACAGAGGACGGGCCTGACGGCCCCACGCGAAGGCGGCCACCACACCGAGCCCAGGCCTCAGTGCTGGAACAAGGGCTGCCAGGTGACCAACCCGGACAACTCCACAGGGCGCCAGCGCAAGCTACTTCAATAACCCAGGCAAACTCAGTAAATGGAGACAGCCCCACATCTACTACCTTTGGTCCAGGCTACACAACGGGGAGCTCATCTAGGAAGCTCCCATTTGTCATGGAAGACAGCCCTGCACAGAATTTAAGTGTGGTCCTACTGGGCCGGAGACACTGGGGGCCTGGGAACATGCTAACTTCCATTTCACACCAGCAGGGTGCCTGAATGGAAAGCTTGAGAACTGGCCAGGCTTACAGGTGGGCTCTTCCTCTGGCGTCTGTGCTCTTGGACTGTCATTGGGTGAAGCAGGAGTTAGTCAAGCTGTGGAGACAAACGTGTGTGGTGCCCACTGCTGCCCGCACAGTGAGGGAGAAGAGGCCTTCCCTCTAGGCTTGCTCTTCCTACTCCACTTGAGGCAGTTACTTTCTATCCTTGAGGAGCACTGGCCTTTCGTGGACGACCAACTGCCTGACAGAGGGCCATGCCGGGGAAAGTTCCGTGGCCCTGCCCCACTCCCTGATGCTGGCGGAGGGGAAGCATTTCTTCGCTGAGGGCCAAGTGTGGCGCCTCTGCTCCTGGGCCTTTCTACCTCTGCACTCTGCACTCCAGTCTGAGTGGCTAAGTATGCCCGGGCTGCCGAGTGCCGTGGAAGGAATCACTTTTCCTGATTCGTTCTTCCTATCAAATGTGTCTTCAGTGCAGAGCAGAGCTTGCCTCGCTCATGCTACTCTGAAGGTTGAGCTTAGAGATGAGGTTGACTTTGCTCGTTTTCAGGCTCTGTGGAGAGCTATGTCTGGGCCTTTGGAACAATCTGAATGTTGCCCAAGGAGGAAGGCCCGTGGACCATGTGGGATGAGGGACAGTGGAAGGGCAGCAGCCCACCCAGCGGCCAAGAGGGAGCGCTGAGCCAGGCAGCTGTTGGTGTGTGTGTGGGGGGGGAGAGTGTGGGGGGGTGGCCCTCGGCAGCACTGCAGTGGCCCAGGGTCACTTGGAACCACAGCCCTTCCCAGACTGGGCAGGATCATGAAGCCCTGGCATGATCACCTATGATCATCTGGTCTTTGGAAAATGAATGCCTTCCTGACCTGGGTGAGGAGGCTCTTGTTCCTTTACTGGTCCCTTGGGCCTTGACAGGAGGGAAGCAGATTGAAGGGACAGGTCTGAGAGGCAGAGCAGTCCTCAGGCTGTAAATCTAAAAGAAAACAGGTAGATGTTGACCACCAATTTATTTTTCAAAACTTTAAGTACAGACCCATCTTTATAGTATAGACCCATGTGCGTGTGTGTGTGCATGTGTGTGTGCGTGCACACACACACACACACACACACACACACACACACACACGCCAGTCCTGGGGCTTGAAGTTAGGGGCTGGGTGCTGTTCCTGAGCTTGCCCAAGGCTGGTATGCTACCTCTTGAGCCATAGTTCCATGTCTGGCTTTATTGGAGACAGGAGTTTCATGGATTTTCTGCCTAGGCTGGCTTCGAACTATGATCCTCAGATCTTCAGACTACTGAGTACTAGGATTACAGGTATGAGCCACTAGCATATGGCTCAGCAGACTTCTGTGAGTAAGAAAGAACGAGGCTGATACCTAGGGGACAGGAGAGTTTCAAGTCTGACTCTGGAGGAGCAACACACCTCCTGTGCCCCAGGGTCCTTGCTTGGCTGTTTTCTCAAGGTAAGAGCCTAGTGCAGCAGTAGCAGATCTGAGTCGGTAACCTCCTGCTCAGTCTACCAGGAATCCTGGCATCCTAAGGGATTGCTCCCCTTTGGTTCCTGTCCTGAGAAGAAGGTAAAGAATGGACAAACATGGACAGCCCAGACAGACGGCAGTGCATCTTTCATAGAACTTCATTCAAGAGAAGATTTTAAATTAGTGGAGGGGAGTATCAGCTAGATACAAAAGGGCCAATGGAAGGAAAGGGAGGATTGGGTTGGAGATAACTAGCAGGCAGATAAGGAACCCAGGCGTCCCAGTTCCTCCTACTCAACGGCTGCCTAGAAAAGGATGTGTGTTGTGTGTGTATGGCATGTGTGCGCACGTGTGGAAGGCTGGGGAGCTTCTGCAGCCTCTCTCCCCGTTCTCCAGGAAGGCCCTCTGCCGCCTACCCCTGTGATGTGTGTGTATGGCATGTGTGCGCACGTGTGGCTGGGGAGCTTCTGCAGCCTCTCTCCCCGTTCTCCAGGAAGGCCCTCTGCCGCCTACCCATGTGATGCGGTCATGCCGGCGTGTGGACTTGAGCACAAGAGCAGCACGCTGGACTACAGCACCAGTGAGTACCGAGGACACAGCCGGAGCAGGCCACGCTCTGCAGAGAGAAGGGACTGACACAGATCCACAACAGTGTAGGCTCCTGGGGGTCAGAAAGCACTATAAAACATTTCTTATGAAAGTATTTTTTAATAAATTGATGTATTTCAATGTTATAACATGATAGCCCAATGCTATTATCAAGGTAGCAAAAGTGGCGACGCCGGCACTGTTCTAGACACTCTGAAGGACGGGCGGCGGCGTCGGTGGAGAGTCTTGACAGCTGAGCACTTTCCACACGAAGATGTGCGCACTTCGGTGTAAGAACTGAGCGGACTGCCAAAGTCTAACAAATTAAGCTGCACCCTCAAACCACACTAAAGAGAAGGGAATACAAGACGGTATGGCTAATCTGCTATAGAAACCAAGCCTTTCAAACTTAAGTCACTTAAGGAAAAATAGTCTGCGTTAAAATGACAGGGTATCTTACTGAAATGGAGCCATAAGAAGACAGATTAGAACCCTGAAGCAGTGAGTGCTGCTCCTACTGTGTGATGGAAGCGGCCATGGAAGACAATGCAGCTGTCCGTGTGCTAAAACCAGCAGTCCCTGCTCTGCGCCAGTGCTGGTGATGGTCATCTACACTATTGCTGTGGCTGGAGCTCAGGCATCAAGTGGAGGCTCTCAGACTGCACCACCCTTCCCAAAGCTGATGTCCCTCGCTTAGGGTAAAACAAACAAACAAACAAAAACCCCAAGGGTCTTGAAAACAAATAGGAGAAACTAGAAGCATCTGACTTGTAACACTATTCTTACTGTTCAAGCCACCAGGAGAAATCTGTTTTACTTGGTTACAACTACAAAAAGTTCACATGACCCCACTGATCACATGAACATTAATGACCAGATTTTTATTTTATTTTTATTTATTTTTGTTGGTCGTGGGGCTTGAACTCTGGGCCTGAGCGCTGTCCCTCAGCTCTTCAGCTCAAAGCAAGCGCTCCATCACTTGAGCTACAGCGCCACTTCCGGTTTTCTGAGTGTTTGTTTATTGGAGAAAAGTGTCTCCCGGAGTTTCCTGCCCAGGGGGTGGCTTTGAACCGCGATCCTTAGATCTCAGCCTCCTAAGTAGCTAGGATTACAGGCGTGAGCCACCAGCGCCCGGCTATCACCAGATTTTTAACATGAATTTTTCTTAAGAATGAGTCCAGGTAGAAAGAACAAGATTCTTTCTGAAGCCTTCAGGGGCAACATAAAAACAGGCTGGATGCTTTTAGTTCTTAATTTGAGCTGTAGAGAAGGACCAAACTTAAGAGATTTTCTTTATCTTCAGCTACAATTAGATTGTGAATAGTCACTTGTCCAGAAGTTTATCTGCTGTAAGTATATAGATAATTGGCCTTATGCCACTCATTTTTTCTTAGGGCCCTTCACATTATTTCTAAGCTGCAAAAGCTGCCGATGAAAACAACTACAATGAAATAACCATACAGTCATCTGTGTGCTGAGGTCTTCCGTTCTAGATACGCAGGCACAAAATGAGATGTTCATGGCTCCGTACACAGGAATGTCTAACCAAGGCAGGCTACTCCCCTGGGGCAGAGCCCAGGTTTAACACATGCGTATTTCAAAAGCTGTGCTCCAGACTATTTTAAAATCCCAATCCAGTGGCATCAAACACTTCTTTTACTGACCTGGGTTTTGGTGCTAGCACTCTTTGCATAGTGAACAACTTACTGCTAGCGTCATGTTTATCCCCATTCTCCATCTAGAACTGAACCAAGTCAGTGTTTCACAAAGGTCATATGTTCCTCCTTTCTTAACACAGCTCTCTGTCTCTGTCTCTCTTGGCCAGTCCTTGGGTCTAAACTCAGGGACTGAGCGCTGTCCCTGAGCTTCTTTTGCTCAAGGCTAGCACTCTACCATGTGAGCCACAGCACTTCTACCTTTTTCTGCTTATGTGGTACTGAGGAATTAAACCCAGGGCCTCATGCATGCTGGGCAAGCACTCTACCATGTGAGCCACATTCCCAGCCTTTATCACATCTCTTAAAACAAGTGCTCAGCCTGTAATAGAACTGACATTGATCTGTAAAGGCTTTCCTTGCTGGATGCAGATATAAAACAGTCAGAAAGTATAAAGTGGCTTCATTTTCCTCAGGTTTATGCTTAGAACCCAAGGCTTATTTTCCCCATGAACAGGGTGTGCTTAAGTTGATAAAAATCAGCTTATGGAAAAGTTAAAAATGTAGTTAACTAAAAGACATGTATGTTCACATAGAGATAGCACACAATCCAATCCAAAAGTTTAAATAAATGTAAAAAATTTCAAACCCAACAGCATATATAATGCTGAAGTCACTGCCTTGGATCATTTTTCTTCTTGCCAATATTTTATATAGGACAGTCATCAATGAACATTCATTCATGGAACGGGACATAAAATGACTTGGTTCTTACATGTAAGAGTTTCACTGGGAGCAGACACAACACAAGCAGACAGATTCCTTGCTAATGAGGACTTTCCTGTGGTGACAACTTCCATCTCAAGAGTATGTTAGGTAAGAGACATACATTTGAGGGGATATAAAAAGATGAATTTAAAGACACATAAATATGCCTTTTTTTTCAACAAGAAGTCAGTAAGAATAAGCTTTCTATTACAAGGGGAGCTACCCCCCATCACTAACAATTCTGACATATTGTTTCTGACATGGAACCTAAAAAGTATGAAATACCAAAGAATTACCTATCTGGTGGTGTTTCATTAGCTATAGTTTCTGAGGACTAGTATAAAAGGTAGTCTGAAGAGTTAAAAGCAGTTGATGTCAATTCATACTGCTACTCAGAAGGCTACTACTTAGGTCATTCCTACCCCATCAATGAAATCTTGTGTGAGGAAGAAATTATTTGCTATTAAAAATGGAGTTCCTTCCCTAGCACATGTGCAAAAACACCCGTCAGTTACAAGAATGTCTTCAATGGAAATCTTGATTTTTGAATCAAAGGCATCACGCTAGGCAGACAGGAGAGCGTCACCAGCCTAGGTGGACAGATATGTGGGATGAAAGCAACTGTCCCGTGGGCACCTGGGAGATGTGCTACTCAGAAACGGAAGGGCCCAGCTGGAGTCCTAAGACCTTGGGGCCGTGTGTTCCTACCTATCAGGCCAGTTTGGTTCTCTGCATCTGATTGCCAACAAGGCTAATACAAATCTAAAAGACAATTCTTAAGCAGGTGATAGAACTCTGTGTAGAACTTTTTGTGTGCCTATTATTTATGCTGTTGCTCTGGCAATTGTCAGGAAGTGTATGAAATTACCTGCCTCATATTTGAAGATGAGTATTTTCTTCTTTTACAATGGCAGAAGTCCATGCAAGATTTGTAAACAGCGATACAAAATACTGTAAACATAACTTAACAGAGCTTGTATAAAACAGAAGTAAATCCAAATTTACAAGTGGGTAAAAAACCAGAGGGTAGCTTGCTTCATAGAAAGTTCTCCCTCCTACACAAGGGATAGATAGATTATATATATATAATATATTATATATATATACTTTTTTTTTAAAGATTACAAATATAATCCTGAGCTGAAAAACTGGGATTGGGGGAGAGCCATCTTTGCATACAAAGTACCCAAAGGATGCTTACTCTGTTTTCTTTTCTCTAACGATGTTCAACTGCCAGAGACAGTTTTGAAGGTGACTTTGGAGACACTTATAGCTTAGTGTGGCGCCCGGGTCTGGAGCCTGCGGCAGCGCTCGCCACAGTGGCGGATGCAGCGGCATCCTCTGCTTCTTCCAGCTCATCCTGGAGCTCCTGGCTGACACTGGACTGCAGGGCTGCAGGAGTGAGCCACTCCTTTGGGAGGCAACTCTGGAGAAAGGGTATACAGGAGCTGAAGTAGGCAAGTCGATTGATCCAGCGAGGAATCTCTTTCCCACAAAGAATCTATGGGGAAGAGAGTTTTCTATTAGGAACGGGATTAAGGTGGTCTGGCTGCTGCCACACAGGAGGGAGAGGCAGTACAGAGGCCACTGCTCACCAGCCTTCCCTAACTCAGGACTTCCCTAGCTTGTCAAGCTGCTTGCTTAATCACTTCAGCAGAGTCTAGCCAACTCCACTCGGCTTCTGTCTACCTTGAAGGGCTTCAGGGCAAATGGAAGAGGAGTACAGAGCACAGAAGATGCTGCCTCCCACAAAGTTATCCTCAGCGTACTAGAAGCCCTAGCAGCTGAGTCAGTCTTGAGTATTTCGTCAGTTCTCACTTTTCACAGGCCCTTTCCTAGTTTTCCCAGGCTATTCAGTTTTTCCTAGTCCACACACCACCCATTGCCTTGACCCTAACCCACTTGTTTCAAGGGAAGCTCCAGAGAAAGGTATCCCTGCCTCTCCCTCCTCCGCCCCCCCCATGAAGACTTGGCTCTAGGATACCTCTGCAGAAGCAGAGCCACGGTCAGACAAGACCTGGAAGTTTGGCCAAACTTCAGCCCAGACTCTAGTAGGGGAAAGACGGGTGCTGGGCGGAAGCCTTCCTGGAGGGTGACTCACACTTCTGGCTCTCCTAGTGACCCAGGACTCCAGAGTCCTTTTCTCTCTCCATCTTCAATAGAAGAACTAATACCAGTCATTGTTGACTGTGCAGCTTCTGTCACAGAACCTGAGAGTGCAGAGCCAGAAAAGTACTTCAAATGTTTCAGAATTGGGCGCTGGTACCTCACGCCTATAATCCTAGCTACTCAACTCAGGAGGCTCAGATCTGAAGATCACAGAAAATCCCTGAAACTCTTATCTCCAGTTAATCACCAAAAAGCCAGAAGTAGAGCTGTGGCACATGTGGTACAGCACAAGAATTAAGCACAAGGCTGGGAAGGTGGCTCAGTGGTAGAGTGCCTGGCTTGCATGCCTGAGGCCCTGGGTTCGATTCCTCAGTACCACATAAGCAAAAAGAAAAAAGCCGGAAGTGGTGCTGTGGCCCAAGTGGTAGAGCGCTCGCCTTGAGCTGAAGAGCTGAGGGACAGTGCCCAG